CTGCATGTGGATTTGTGCCCCGCTGGCACTGACAGCAGGTGCCCACATGGTTCCCAGGCTCTTTTCCTGACAAGGCAAGGCAAGACAGACCACAAAGGTGCATCTGAGGTGGCCATGAACACCACCAGCTCTGGCTTGGCTGTTACCTCCACCTTGGACAGAGAAGGAAGGACAGAGCAGGTTTGGGGATATACCTAGATGGGCATTTCGGCTGGAGAGGCTGGAGAGAAACATTCCAGCTACTACTCAGCCACCAGGCTCGCACAGCCAGATTCCGAGGTTCCCCCAACGAGTCGCTGCTCCCAGCAGAGGGGCATCGTGGTTTCTGCTGCCTCTCACCTGCATGCTTCCCTCTGCTGGCTGCTTCCACCCCTTTTCTGTTGTTGGGATTGGGTGTGAGACCCACTGACAGGGTGCCGCTGTTCATGCCACCACCTATTCCCGGGCAGCACATGAGACTGCACCTCAGCTGAAGTGGCTAAGGATACTCCTGTCACCTCATGTGGCGAGGAACTGTCATTGTAGGTGCAGCCACCCAAGTCATTACCCCATATCACTGCTAACATACCTCACCTGCCTGAACTGCTAAAGTGTTGCCAATGTTCTTTGGTCTACAGAGACTAGTGGGTCTTTCTGAATTCTCCATGGTACATACTGTCCAAATTCTCTGATCACAACCAAAGAAGCTTCAGAGACACAATATTGTACAATGCACACACATCATTGAAACCAACACAGCAAAACCAAATGACAATCCTGTGACACATCCTTAGGGGATAACTACTTGGGATGAAGGTCTCGCTGTAAAAGCAGTAGCAAGAGCTGGTCCAATAAATACACAAATTTTAATGTTGGAACTAAAGAAAGATGAAAAAAATAATATGCCACTTCTAAAAGACCGTAACTCTCTAACAACAAATTCCAAAAATATTAAAAGGAATGAAATGCTTGACAACTAATTCAGATGACTGATTACTAAAAAGCCAAAGAGTTAAGAAATTAGGAAGATAATAGGCAAAAACCAACTTTCCAGAATTGATCTAGAGGAAATAAGAAAACAAGTAATGTGTATATTTTCAGGGGTGGGGAGAGAGGGTATAGAACTTAAGGGAAAAAGGGTAAAAAGTGAAGTGGTGGAGCTGGACATGGTTGAAGAAAGTGAGCTATACAACTCATGGGTGGAGAGAGGAAGGAGGAATTGGGAGAGATTGAGAGAAGGGAAAACACTGTATGAAAGGAAATGAACTCATTACCTGATGTAAATAATAATGTAAATAATATATTTCAAAAACAAGTAATGGTATAAAATCAGTAATAAAGAAGATGCTAGGGCCAGATGGCTTCACAGCTGAATTTTACTAAACTTTTCAATCCATTCCAGAGATATGAAATGGAGAGAACTCTTCCAAACTCATTCCATAAGGTCACATTGCTGTGATGAAACTTAATAAGGGCATAATAACAAAAATGACAACAAAAAAGAAAACATGACTACTGATGCAAAAATTCTCAGCAATAATGCTAGCAAATTCAACAGCATATCTAAAAGATCATCACCATGATCAATTTAGTCTCATGGCAGATATAGAAAGATGCCTACTGTCTTCTTTTGTTTAGAAATTATAAATTTAAGAATGCAAATTGATGAATGTAATATATCAGATCAATGGAATAAGGTAAAAAATCATATGATCATATCAATAGATCACAAAGAGTACATGCTAAAATTCAGTATTCTTTCATGGCAGAAGACATGAACACATTAAGTATTATATCTCACATAATAGATGCTAGCTAGCATCATATTGAGTGGGAGGAAAGCTAAACAGTTTCCCCTAAGCTCAAGAACAAAATAGGGCTGCTTACTCTTACTGCTCTTTTTCCAGTATAGTACTAGCAGTTTTAGCTAAAGCAATTAAGCAAGAAAAAAAAGCAAAGTCAAATTATCCTTGCTTGTGGATGATATTATTCTATATATAGAATTCCTAAGCATAGAATATGTAAAGACTCCATTAAGAGACAATTTGAATGAATAAATTTAGTAAAGTAGTAGAATGCAAAGGCAGCATACAAAAATCAATAACCTATAGACTTATAATGCATTTTTTGCTAAGAAGAAATGAAAGCAGCTCACAATAGATTGAAAAGAGAAAATACATCTTTTATGAATAAACAATCAGAGAAGTGAAAGATCTCTACAATGAAAAGTATAAAACACTAATGAGAGGAAACTGAAGATAAGAAGACCTGAACACTTCTCATGCTTATAGATTAGAAGAATGGATATTATTATAATATCCACACAATCCAAAGTGATCTCTTGGAATTTCCATTGAAATATCCATGACATCTTTTGTATACCTAAGGGGAAAAATCCTAAAGCTCAAGTAGAAGCACAAAAGACTTTCAATAACGAAAATGTTTTTGAGTAAAAAGAACAAACTAGAAGCATCATAATATCAACTTTCAAGACAGAACCACAGTAACAGAAAACAACAGGTACTGGCATAAAAACAGACTCATAGACTAATAGAACAAAATAGAGATCCCAGATATAAACCCATGCATGTATAGGCAACTGAATTTCAGAAAAGGTGCTAAAAACATATTAAATATTTCTCTTCATAACGGTGCAGGAAAAAGTGCAGATTGTGTACATGCCAACACTGTATAAGTCAACTGAAAATAGATCAATGATCTAAATGTAAGACCTGACACTTCTCGAAGAAAGCACAAGGGAAATACTTTAAAACATTAGGATAATCAATGCTTTCCTGGACAGGACTACAAAGAAAGGAAACTTAAGCAAATATTAACAGGTGAGACTGCATCAAATCAAAGAGCTTCCTGCATAGCAAACACAACAGAGTTAATAGGAAGCCTGCCTAATGGGAGAAAATACTGGCCATTCACCTAACAAAGCATTAATATCCAGAATATATAAAGAGCTTAAAAAATCCTCAACCTAAAACACTAAATAATATACTTTAAAAATTGGCAGATGATCTCAATAGACACTTCTCAAAGAAGAATTCTAAGAATCCAAGAAATATTTTTTAAATGCTCAATATCCTTCACCATGGAATGGAAATCAAAACAACAATGAGATACTACTTTACCCAAGCTAGAATGATCATTATCAAAATGAACAACAAATCATGAAGACAACTAAAAGTAACAAATGCTGACAAGACTGTGGAATAAAAAGCAATCTTATATACTATTGGTGGGAATGTAAATTGGTGCAGGCACTATGAAAATCAGTATACGATTTCCTCAAAAAAACTAAAAACATTTACCTACCATTTGATCCTTATATATACCACTCTTGGACAAATACCCAAAGGAATTAAAAAAACAATTACACTAGACTTAACCAATTTGCACAATTAGTATGTCAATAAAGAATTAAGAAATAATTTTGTAATCTTACTCCTCCCACCCTGTTTGGTCTATCATGTCTAAATCTGTATAACTAAACAATATTTTTAGTTCTTGATGATTGGATTGTTCCTCAAAGAAAAAAAGTATCAGGCCCTCTGAAAAGTCAAACAGCAATCATGTATTGGTCATCTGGGTTGAATAACAGCACAATGTAGTAATTTAGTCCATGCTAACTGATGAGAATAACACATAAATGTCTACATAGATCTAAAAAGTGCATGTTGTAGATGTGGTCATACAAATCGCATGTATTTTGTTTTGCCTCTTGGAGTAGCTTTTACTTCTTTCCACTTTCCCTTCAGCCAAAAGTCCCACAGGCTTTTCTGATTCATTATTTTTTTCAGACTTTACCCCTCTCTGGGTAAGGAATCACTGTGTACACAGTGGTTCTCAGTGGTCATTGTGACTCAGTAAGAATTGAGCTTTGTCTGGTTATTCTCTTTTAGCACACAATACTACAAAAGGCTAGAGATACATCTATTTGCTGATGAGAGAGCTTAGGGGCACTAAGAATAACTTGGCAATCACTTCTTTTCACTTAGAGAATACTGTGGAAAACGTCATGGAAACTGTCCTTCCATTTCATGTCATAATTTTATGTTCATGGAAGTGACTACCCCTCTGTTGTGTATATCTCTAACATGGAATCCTGTGACAATATGGCCTAAGGATCATGTCACATTAGCCCCTTGATTCTGATTTCTTCCTTGTTTCTAGAACTTTCAGGCCAACAGGTAAATTGAAATTTCTTTATGTTGCTTTTCTTTCTACAAAGGGCAGGGGATGTAAGTAAGTGGTAAAAGTTTTGCCTAAGTCCTTGAACAGACACCTCTCAAAAAAAAAAGAATTGTTAAGTACCCAAGAAACATTTTAAAATGCTCAACACCCTTAACCATTAGAGAAATACAAATTAAAACTATAGTTAAAATGGTCATTATCAAAAAAAATAACAAAGACAACTAAAAATGCTTGTAACAGTGTGAAATAAAAGGAACTATTGGTTCAATTTCTGTGAAAAGGGAAAAGGAAGGAAGATGGAGGGAAGAGGAGGAGAATGAGAAGAAATAAAAAAGAAGAAAACAGTGGGGGAGAAAGGCAGAGGAGGAAGTAGAAAGAGGGAGGAGAAAGGAGAAGGAAGGGGAAAGAAGAAGAGGAGGAAGGAAGAGGGAGAAAGAGATGGAAGGAGAAACCAGAAAAAAGAGAAGGAATGAGAGGGAGAAAGGGGAGGAAGAGGGTGAAAGAGGAGGAAGAGGGAGAAGAAAGAAGAGGAGATGGCAGGAAGAGGAAGAGGAGAAAGGAAGAGCAGGAGGGGGTAGGAAAAAGAGGGAAGAGAAGAGTGAGGAAGGGGGAAGAGGAGGAAAAGGAAGAAATCAGGAGGGGAGAGAAAAGAGGAGCAGGAGAAGGCAAAAGCAATGGAGAAGGCAACTGAGCCACCCCTCCCCCATCCTATGGAAGCAGCACAATAACCCTCCCCAGGCTGTTCTACCCCAGTGCTGTTCACTCATGTCCACCTGCACACAGCAAGCAATCTGTGAAATTTTAGCACTGAAAATTACCTTGGAGTCCAGCTGCTGCATATATGACCAAAGGTATTCGATATTGGCTCCAAAAGGATGGACATGAAGAAATGTTGATATGATGCCTGAATGAAAAAAGACAGCCACTGTAAATTGTATGCAAAGTCTCAGTTACATAATGCCATCTAATCTCAATGAATTTTGGAAGGCTGAGTTAGGGTCTTGCCATTTTTTTGGGGGGGGTCTGGTCATGGGGCCTGAACTCTGGGCCTGGGCGCTGTCCCTCAGCTCTTCAGCTCAAGGCTAGCGCTCTACCACTTGAGCCACACAGCACCACTTCTGGCTTTTTTCTTATGTGGTGCTGAGGAATCGAACCCAGGGCCTTGAGCATGCAAGGCAAGTGCTCTACCACTGAGCCACCTTCCCAGCCCTTGCCATTTTTTTTTATCTTTTCCTACTTTTTTTTATTTCCGGGAACAGGACTTAAACCTGGGGTCTGATACTTTATCATTCAAAGATTGGTACTCTACACTTGAGCCAGGCCTCCAGCTCCTGGTCATGCTATTTTTAACATCACTGAGCGATCACTCAATAATAGCATGATCCAGAAACAGTAATGGTAACCTGGTATACAGAACACTTCCCCTCCTACAATGACAGTAGTTAGTAAAGGTAGACTTGGAGATAATATATAGATGAATAAAGGTATTTCTAAACAAAGACTCCTGGAAACAGTTCAACTACCAATTTTATGCTTGATTTACCAATATAAAATTGTAGTTATTGAAAGGATAAAATTATCTTTTTCTTTCTCTCAGTGGACTGTGCTGAAAATGACTCAGACAGCTGTGCCAGAAATCACTGCCTTGAGTTTTCCTGGTAATTACAGCTGTGGCCTGTCCCCCGAGCTGCCATTGGAGGAAGTGTGTGTTCATCCTCTAACATGCTCTGCCCTTCAATCATGGCTGCTGCTGAAAGGGAGCCAGCCTCTCTCCTCTTCTCTGTTGTGGTTGACAAGATCATTAATAAAGGCCTGTGAATGAATGCTTGGGTTGGAGTGTGATCAGGAATCAGAAGCCCTTTGCCTTGTGAGAGTCAACTGTCAACATTATACTGACAAATGAACAGCTGGATACTGGTGTAAGGGCCAAGGTAAAAAGCATTATCTTCCTATCCTCCAATGCTTCTAGATCCAAAATCAAAACAGAGAGGGAGTCAAGTTCACAGAATGTGTGTTGTTTTGTGTTAAGGAGGCTGGCTTGGGCAAATTTGAAAGTGCTCTTTTAAACAAGCTGCATTAAGTCTCATGTTCTGTGTATTGTGAGCAGTGAAACTAGAGAGCTGAAGGGCCAAAGGGGGAGATCTCAGTGGTACAAAATGCAATCAGGGAGAAAAGCAGGCAATCCTGTGGTTCTTGTAGCAGGTCATCTTGTGTTGGGAGAAGGCCATGGGCTAATCCATGGTAACATCTTTGTCTCTTGCTCTCCTTTGTGCTGCTTGGGATGTTCCGGGATGGAACATTAAGTTTCTTAAACTTCAAGTTAAAAACAAAACAGAACAGGAGAGAGAACTGAAGGGTTTAGACAAGCTCTCCATGACCTGTAAAGGGATGTTACAGGTTTACAGTAAAATGAAGACGTTAAAAAACAACTATTGTTTCTCTATAAAAATTATAGTCTATTTTCATACTTATCTTACCATTTTATTCTGAGCTTCATGAGCTTTCTTTGAATGCTCCTTTGCCTCCTTTGCTAAAATCTCTTTTTTGGGCATTTTACAGTACTTTTTAAAATTTATTTTTATTTTTTTATTGTGAAAATACCATACAGAGGGGTTACAATGCAAGGTAATGAGTAGATTTCTTATCAAGCATTGTTGCCTCCTCCTCTGTTTCCCCTTCCCATCCCTTCCAATCACTCCCCCTAACCTCCCCCCTCGCACCCCTCCCCCAGCCAAAATTGTAAAGTTCATTTTTCGAACCACTTGTACATCTCATTGTTGCAATGGGTCCACCTGTATCCCTATTTAAATGATCTAAAATCTACTTTTAGAAAGTAATGAGGATAGCGGAAAGAAATAATGGTGATGACGTGTGTGTGTGTGTGTGTGTGTGTGTGTGTGTGTGTGTGTGCACGTGTGTGTTTGTACATATTTTGTACTTAAGATAGGGTATCCTTAACTTTTGATCGCTTGCTCTACCTTTCAAGTAGCTGAGATTATAAGTGGGTACCGGCATGTCTGGCTAATTTTAATATCCTTAATGACATCCTGAGAAAATGCAGATTTTTTGCTCTATTTTGCTTTTGGCTAGGGGTCTGCTGCTGTTAGTGGAATTTTTTGGTGGGGGGAGGGATCAGATTCATTGTGAGCTTCCTAAGTAAATAATGGGTTTCTTTTTCCTAGGAATAGAAAAGGAATAGCTAATGAGAAATGTCACCAGGCACTCCCCTCCTCTCCTGCCAAGTGGAGATAACTTTATGGCCCTCTGAGAGTGACCTGAAGGACCTGAGGGTGGAGCCATGGGCTGTGTCCAGCTGCTCTGCCTGCAGCAAGGCAGATTCAACTCCTGCTTGTTATCCATTTGGGGGACAAGCAGGAGGAGTGTCCGTTTAAGAACCAGCTTCCCAGGCATGCAAAGTACAATTGGAAATAACTAGTTAAGAAAAGAGAGAAGCAAATAATTATTAGTACTACTAGTCTTTTTTTGAAAGAACCTTAAAAAAAATCTACAAACCAGCTCTATTCAGCCAGTGACCAATCTTGTTAAGAAAGTTGATATAAACAGGCTACAGTTTACTCTCAGTTCTGAATCTAAGACCAAGGAAGCAGCATTAAAGCAAGCAAATGATACTAGATTTTGTTTCCTTTGTTATTCCCTTAAATATGTTGCTTTAGTCACTCACTCAGCAGGAGGTACTAAGGGTCAGCATGTATAAGGCAGAGAAATTCCTTCTCTGGCACAACTTTTAGTCTAGTGAACCACCCGGATGATACATGCACAAATGAAAACTCAAGGAAATAGACTGAGAAAATTATAAGCAGAATAAAGAGAACAAAACAAGTAACAGAAAAGACAGTGACCTTGAACTTGTGGTTCAAAAAGAAAGAGGATTTCGCGATAGCTAAGAGAAGAAAGCATTTCCAGAAGATTCCTGTGGGAGTTCAGCCAGAAAAAAATGCAGCTGACTGATGGAGAAAGTGAGAAATTGTCAACAGAAAGTATTCAAGTCAGCAAGACAAGAACAGGTCACTGTGAGAGGTGAACCAATGAAGTGGGCTGAAGATAGAGGGGCAGCAATGGAATAGAAATGCTGGGTACAGACTGCATTTACAAGGGTTATGCTGTAATGGAGAACATGGAAATAGTGCTGTTTTTAATTTTTATTGTACAGAGGAGTATCAGTTACGTAAGTAAAGTAATGAATACCTTCCTTGTCAATCTTGGTATGCCCTCCCTCAATTTTATCCTACTTTCCTTCCCTCCCATGTCCCTTCCTCCAAGTTGTACAGATCATTTCCAACATATTGTCTTGTGTATATAGTTGTTGAATTGTCCATCCTTTGTCTCACCACTCTGTTGTTTGAAATGGAGTGTTTGCTGAAAGAGATCAAGGGATCAAAATGGATTTTCTTCTTCCTCCTCTTCCTCTTTCTTATCCTCCCTCTTTATCCTTTCATTCTCTTCCTTCTTCCCCTCCTCGTCCTCCTTACTCCTGCCCTTCTACTTCTTCTGTTTTTTTTTTGGTCAGTCGTGGGGCTTGAACTCTGGGCTTGGGAGCTATCCCTTAGCTCTTCAGCTCAAAGCAAGCGCTCTACCATTTAAGCCACAATGCCACTTCAGGTTTTCTAGTGGTTTATTGGAGATAAGAGTCTCATGGATTGAACAAGTTTACATTCCCACCAACAATGAAGTAAGGTTCCTTTCTGTCCACATCCCCTCCAGCATCTGTTGTTGTTAGAGTTCTTGATTTTTGCCATTCTAACTGGGGTGAGGTGATATCTCAATGTTGTTTTGATTTGCATTTCTTTTATGGCTAGGGATGTTGAACATTTCTTCATGTGTTTATTGGCCATCCTTCTTTCTTCTTCAGAGAAGTTTCTCTTTAAGTCTTTCGCCCACTTATTTATTGGGCAGTTGTTTCTTTGAGGATTTGTTGTTGGGGGGTTTAATTTTTTGAGTTCCAAGTATATTTTAGATATGAGACCCTTGTCTCATATCTAGTAAAGATCTTCTCCCAATCCGTGGGCTTTCTATTGATCTTGCTAGCTATGTCATTTGCCCTGCAGAAGCTCTGCAACTTTATGCAATTCCATTTGTCCAACCTTTCTTTGATTTGTTGTGTTTCCGGGTCTCTATTCAAAAAATTTCGGCCTGAGCCAAGGAGACCTAGGGTTTCTCCTATTCCATCCTGTAATGTTTTCAGAGTGTCTGCTTTGACTTCAAGGTCTTTGATCCATTTGGAGTTGATTCTGGTGCAGGGTAATATATAAGGATCTAGCTTTAGTTTTCTACATGTAGTTAACCAATTTTGCCAGCACCATTTACTGAAGAGGCTGTCTTTCTTCCATTCTATTGTTTTAGCTCCCTTATCGAAGATTAGGTGGCTATAGGTTTGTAGGTTCATTTCTGGGTTTTCTATTCTATTCCATTGGTCCTGAGGTCTGTTCTTATGCCAATACCAAGCTGTTTTGATTACTATGGCTTTATAGTAGAGTTTGAAATTTGGTATTGATATTCCTCCAGCAGTGTTCTTTCCATTGAGGAACGTTTTTGCTATTTGGGGTCTTTTATTGTTCCATATGAATTTTTGGATTGCCTCTTCTATTTCCTTGAAGAATGAGGTTGGAATTTTGATAGGTATTGCGTTGAATTTGTAGATAGCCTTAGGAAGTATTAAGCCAGGCCCAAAGAAACATACGTCCCATGGTTTCCCTTATTTGCAATATCTAGTATATCTATGAGTCAAGCGGAAAAGGTCAGATAATGTGATGTCAGGAAATTGAACCCTTAGATATGTATCTTAATGTTTTTTTCTTTCATGCATGTGTTTCTAATGCACTTATAAGATTATCTCTTTGTTGCTTGGTATGTCCCTCCCCCACAGTATAACCCCTGCTTTCACTA